CCATTAAACAATAACTTATTATTTATTATTTTTTACTATTTTACTATTTCAGGAAACTGTGTTGAAGGGGAATACATGTGTTCAACCTTTGAGTGTATACCCCAATATAAGCTGTGTGACGATAAGCCTGATTGTGCTGATGGTTCCGATGAAATAGCTCCATGTACACTTTATAAAGGTTAGATTTCTATTTATTATATATGCAATTAAAATGTACACTTTCAAAATAAAAATGATTAATGTTTATTTAAAATTTACACAATTGTCTTTTTAATCGCATATGACTGATTCAAAAATACACTTCACACATTGATGAGAGAACATGAAAATTATAAACTGACACTGATTTCTCTGGGTTTTTTCGTCACTGGAATACAATTTATAACATATTTATGTTTATGAATTTAACTTTAGTTGGACAATGCCGCTATAGTGTGGATGATAGATCGTTTAGTTGTTCCGGGCGTGAGTATCTTTGTTCATTTCATTTTTCTATTTGTCGTTTTCAAATAGAGAGATCACTGGCTATTATTTTAGATATCGTCAATGTGTTAACTGAATTATAGCCCAGAATGGCGCGTTAGAGATTGGATACGATAGGAGAGATGGAGATACATGTAGGCAGATTACTAATTGAACACTTATATTTTCTATGTAGCTAGCATTTGGTTTTCACCTTGTAAGGGTGGATTTATGGAAACATGTATATTCAGTGTTGAAGAAGAATATATGTGTTTACACCCTTCCGATGTGTGTAATGGTGTTGTGGATTGCTTCGATGGCACCGATGAAATTTGTGACAATTGTAAGTAATTCTATTTTTAATCTTTGTACAGTACAGTTACGGGTACAATCCTTTGTACAACTCGCTTGGGAATGTACCAACAGAACTAATCACGTGCTGGTTTGTTATTGGAAATAAATGTATTCAGCCAGCAAAAAAACTCCCCTGTATTTTCGCTGCTTTGTGTTAAATATTATTTACTTCTTTAGTAAATCCTTAGTTATACTCGACTAATCGTTGTTGTTTCATGCTACTTCTAGTATACGTTCAAATACTTGGTGCGCCACATTTTTTTACCGAATTTAGTAAAATAGTTCCATATTCGACGCAACAATTGTCCACGCTTGGGAATTGTTTACAGAAATATACACTGGTATCTGGCACTCGTGTGACGTCATTTTGTTTCTCGGTATACCTACGGCGCTGATAGATACTACCGCAATAAAGGAAGATACTTGTACGCGATGACGTCACTCGTTAATACCGAGGGATTAATTTTTATATTTGAAGTAATTTTATTTCATTTCAAAATTACAAATACACAGACAAGAAAAAAACTAGATAAAGCCAATAAGTGTGTAGTAAACAAATAAACTGCCATATTTGTATTCAAATATAGACAATCATATATATACTAGGCTGTACAAAAGAAAAAGAAATTTGATATTTTCTTTTATCATAAAATTTGCATGAAACAATTGACATGATAGATAACACTTTCTGTACATCAACCCCCAAAGGCATTAAAAGAAAAAAGTACCAAAACCAAAAACCGTTTAAGAACATAGCCAAAAAAGCGCAACATCATAAGGGGAAAGCGAGATTCACACACACACACACAAATGAAAATACAATGATGCACAATGTAACGCCGTCATAATACAACTAATAATAACAGAGCCTGGTTGGTTGGTAAATTGCAAGACAAAATTTGTAAGACACACTAGCTTTCAGATAACTGTTACAAGTTATATTTCGTCATATTGTTATTAACTACATAATAATATACCGAGGGATTATATATAAATGTCATATTATCAAGAAGTTCAAAAAAATAAAGATAGCAAAACGTACTTTAATTCTTAGTACTTATATTCTTAATGTAAATTAAATATATTCAGAAATGTACAAAGGAGTGTCACGAGAGATTATCACATAGACCAGTTCATACACAGATGCAGGGGACATGTTCTAATAAACTAAATTTTGATTATGCAATGACTCACCATCCCACACTATAGTGTCCAGAGCCTGAACATCGTAAAGTCCATGTCAGGTATACTAAAACACTTCACATGTCATACCACTTCATATAATATCATTAATAGGTCGATATATTGATTGAAAATATATATCACAATATTAGGCAAGCCGTGTCATATTGTCACTAACATTTCAGATCACTGGAAATGTCCGTATAATCATTTTAAATGCGACGGAACAGGTCAATGTATTACCAATAGCCTGGTATGTGATGAGGTGATGGACTGCAAAGACGGAAGTGACGAAATTACTTGCGGAAGTGGTAAGTTTAGGGTATATTCCGTTCGGTTCATCATGCGAGCTTTCAGGAATGATGATATCGAAATATTTTGGCTGCGAAACTGATTCGGTGAGGTCACTTAACCACATTTAAAATTGGATTTTATGATTTGAAAACAATGTTTTCCCATCAATGCGAGCATAAACACAGTTTTCATCACGAGCTGCTTCGCAAATTTCTGCAAGACTGTTTAAAATTCCAAATCTTGGGCGACGTTCTGGAACTCATTTGTTTATTAGAAAACACAATTGAATGAATTTGCCAAAGGTAATCTTGGTTATGCCATATTTGCGACTTTCTGCAATAACCAGGCAATGATACCAGGTCAAGTGATATTGTTTGCGATCAGTAGTAACAGTTAATGCCTAATAAGATATCTTCACATATAATGTACGTAGACTCTTTCACGTGTTGAATGGGACATTTTCCCGATGATCTGTGTATATTTCTAACATATATATCATTCGATATTTCAATAAATAGGGTTAAAATACAATGGAACAATGTGGACTTGCGAAAATAATTCATCTTCGATTCCCATACAATTGATGTGTAATGGTTTTCCTAACTGCAATGATGGAAGTGACGAAGTAAACTGTGAGGATTGTAAGTATATTTTTATTAATTCAATTATTGAGGTTACAAACATACTAATCGAAGATTTGGGGTTACCATCCTGATTTTTGACAAGATAGTGGTCAGATTTTAGTGAATTACAACGCTTTTATTTCTGCTTTAGCATTACGTTCACTCTAATTTTACATTGAATAATCATTTCAATTCGGAATGCATTTGTATTTGCTTAACATGTTGTTTGTGTTTTTGCATTAGATCCATGCCCACCCGGTATGTTCAAGTGTGCCGTGACTTACTTGTGTGTTGATGAAACAAAGCGATGTGATGGGTCTAATGACTGCGTTGAAGTAATGCTCATACCTTTCGACTTGTCAGATGAAGAGAATTGTGAAAACTGTTAGTTGAGTAAAAAAATAATATCAAATCCAATTAAATTTCAAACTTCTGAGAATATTATAATTTCAAAATCACGGATTAAAGAGGACGTACTCTGAACACATTTGAAAAACAGAGTCAATCAATGAGGGGAATCTATGTCCATAATGACTATATATTGATGTTAGTGTATTGAAAGTATGCTCAGCCCACCTATCATACACCAATGCGAGTCACAGTCTAATGGGCATATTATAATCTGACATCTTGTAAATATTGAGGCATATAACGGAGTTACGATGTGCGCCCACTTGCCATAGAGCTTCTTAAATCATGGGCAACTTGTTTTCTACAAAATATGATTTAATATATACCTTTGTTCATTGTATTCAGACGAGTGTCCCTCAGACCGATATCGATGTGGAAATGGACAGTGCATTGATATGAGACATCGATGTGATTATCATTATCATTGTCTAGACCAGAGTGATGAAATACACTGTACACAAGGTGTTTATTGTATAATATTCTGTTATATATGTTATTTTTACTGGTACAAATGCCATTCGTTGACATCTGTAACGTTATTTTCGTGGTTGTGATCATTTAATTTTTTCTAATAGCACGCTGTTAACTTCGAAAGTGGTTGGTTGGTGGTAACCTGTACATGTGAAGGTTTACTTGATTGTTTATTTGATCTAAGTACTTTTTTATCACGTTCTGCGATCGATTCATCTATTTCTTTGACACAGCTATAGAACTGAAATGAAGGCATATCGAGACAACGTTGATGACTCGTCATATTTTTTAGCATGTGTGAATTATGTTATTTTGAAATGAATGTCGAAAAACTTGTATGTTACAATGCAAAACTAATGTGCATAATATCCGAAGGACATATACGTATAGGTAAATCTAGAGTGCATACGCTGTTGCGATTTACATTACATCATCGAACGAATACTGTTATATTTGAAAAAAAAACAATAAATCCTTTTCAACTAAGACAAAATATAAAACGGTATTATACAAGCTCGGTCAAAACAAGTATTATTACATAACATCAAGTAAATTCAACTCGTTTGTTTCATAAACTGGTTATTTATGTGTAGTTACGTAATTATGTAGTTATAAATCAAAATTCTGTCTCAAAGTTTCCTCAAACATCTTTTAATAATCATCAAAACTTGTTTTACTCAGCGCCACTGTGCTTTATTGTGTCAGTGTGTATCTCTAATAGCGCTGGTTTTGTTATATATATTCGTCTTTGCAGATGATTGTTTATCGGACAGGAAACTGTGTTCAAATAAAGATGGAAATTATTGTCTAGATAACACTAGTTGGTGTGACGGCTCCGACGACTGTTTTTTTGGTGAAGATGAGGAATGTTACAACTGTGAGTTTCACCAGTTATTAATTTGAATATTGCAATTAATTTATTACATGTTGTCAATTTCAATATTATCCCAACTAACCAGTGTTGAAGCGGCCGTTACAACTGAACTACAAAATCTCGAAGCCATATGCTGAATGCACAACACGTTGACTTACCTAGTGTGCACCTTTACGTCATTATGCCAAAGAATGCAAAGCAGATAAGCTGCACCACAGTCCTGAGCTCGAATTCTGTATTATGTGACCATATGTTCGTAACCTGCATTATATTTATGTACTTATAATTATCACACCTATTCGTGATTATTTATTTGGATTCATTTAATATGGTATAAAATTATGCATATCTAACCCAAAATGTTTTGTCACAGATACTTGTCCACCGAATATGATAAAGTGTGGTCTATTGTGTGAAGTACTTGATAAGCGATGTGATCTGAAATCGAACTGTCTCGGAGGCATCGATGAAGCTGACTGTCAAAATCGTAAATATTTCTTTATTGCATATATTCATAATTAATTATTGTCTTTATGCCAATCTAACTATATAAAAAATATTTAGCGTTATAGCGTAAAGAGTAACGTGTTTTACCACGTTGTATGCAATTATTATTACAGATATGTGCCCGGATGATAGTTATTTTCGATGTCGTAGTGGTCAGTGTATACCTCGGTATCTGTACTGTGATGAGCCAATAAGACCTGACTGCGCCGATGGCAGTGATGAACTCTTCTGTAACAGTGAGTCGTATTTCATATATTTTCCGGTGATGTTTTCTTTTCAGGTTTGTTTTGTAAGAGATCGAGATATAAGCATAAAAAACGGAGAGAAAATTACCAGTATATTAAAGAATAAAGAACGACACTACGATTCGCCAATTATTTGCGTATATCCAGTTCCATACACTGCTCTGATGTAAAAACATTGTAGATAAAATTACATGAATCGAATTGGCAGCCATTTTGTTGAGAGTCCAAAAATCGAAATCAGTAAACGTGTCCAGTACCGATGATCGGTGATGAAAATTTTGATTTTATATATGGCGGCCATTTTGTTTTGTTTTTTAATCGTGTCAATATTGATTTCTCATTAAGTTAGTGTCAAAATCAATTAAAAGTGTGCACAAGTTTTATACTCATATGTGATAACCTGGGTTGTTTTGTTTTGTGATTTCATCAAATTTGTCAAATTAACAAAAATGCCCAGACTTCTGAAATCACAGTCTGTAACTGCAATCAGGAACATATATACTAGGTTATATTTGCACGTTTTAATTTTTTGTTTGGATTTAAACAATAAATAGCCAACTGTAGATCATTTCATTTTACCCATGCTAGTTTCTCTGTCTCTACGTCTGATTATAATCACCACATATCTTGTCTTGAGAACGACTACCAGTGAAACCACACGGGATTTGAGCATTGTCAGAGATAGTTGAAAAGACATTGACTTCAAAATATTAAACCAGCGGTTTTGTCAAAACAACCAACGTTAATCTAAAGAAATTCTGGGCAGATGTCATGAGCTTGTGGTTAAAAATGATCACACTGATATCAGATAACATCAATGCCACTTGATGTAGGCCATAGGTTTCTTACAAAAACAGTTTGCTTGCCGACTAGTTCAGAATGTGCTTTCACAACACCCACTGTCACTTCGCTGTAGTATACTTCAGACTTTATGTACAATTCCTAACTGATTTGACCATAGTTTGTAATGTGTTTTGGATGTAATTGTTTTGTGTTCATGAATTTATATTTTTCCTTTTGTGATTGTCGGTTACTTACATTTTGCAATGAGTTACCATGCCTTCAAAGGATTCGTATTTTTACATAGATACGTGTGATAATGACGAATTCCAATGTAAAAGTGGTTGGTGTATCAATGGTACATATACATGCGATGGTGTCAATGACTGCGGCGATAACAGTGACGAAGACAACTGCCCAACATGTACGTAAAACATTTTCACAAAAAGATATGGTTGAAATTGCAAATGTTTACATATATTGGGAATACAGACTATTTAAATAATCCCTACAACTCTGAACATGGATTAGTACAATCATTATTATTCATATAATCAACAATTGTTAATGTGTTTATGAATTAATTATGTTTTCACCCGAAAAGCGCTAGTCAAGCTCATTGCATGCGTATAGTACCACACTTGGGATACAATATCTTAAATTGATTATTCTGGTTTCTCCCACAGTCTGTGAGAGTGGCGAGTTTAAATGTGAATCTGGCTTCGACAATGGTAATCGTATATCCACGCATTGTATCCCAATGAATCGTCAATGTGATCGATTTATTGATTGTCACTATGAAGACGACGAAGCTGGTTGTGAATACCGTGCGTATGAAATATTTAACTTGTAAACGAAACATGGACTGCTCGCTGTTTAGAGTTCCCGTACTATTTCCATAATGTAAAACCCCATGTAAAATGTAGAATAGCCAATAACCTTTAATTTCACATTTAGATATATTTATGATGTACTTTCCAACAATAATTCTAAATTTGTTGATTATATTCCAATGGTATATTCAATTGCACTTGGTAACAAGGAGACTACTGCATCTTTTTTTCTGCGCCTTGATCTTGTCGGATATAGACAGAAACCAACTCAGAATGATCTATGACGGGTGCTACATCTGGGTCAGGATGTGCTAACACTTTTCAAAATGTCATTTCATGTACACTATATAGTACATGTGTTTTCTCTTATTGATTTAATTATGTTATGTAGTTAACTTGTCAGTTGTTTTGCTCTTGTGAAATTTTGTTAATTGTTTTTTGGTCGTTTTTGGAATTTGTTCATTTTGCATCCTGTCCCTAACCCAATCATTACCCCCCTTCCCCCCAACGCTAGACTTAGCGTTGGGTGCAAAAAGAACTCTCTCAATTTGTGTTGTGTTCTAGGACTTGTAAATTACCATATACGACTTTTGTTCAAAGATTTACAGTTGAGTAAGTTATTTCCTCTTTGCGTCTAAATTCCACAGATGTTCGTGACGTGACAACAGAACCTGACTGGAATGCTAACTACCTTGATATCTCGGACGACCCAACTGTATATGAAGCTTTCCGTCGTTACGTTTTCGTCAATCGCCCAACTGACTTCATCCCCCGTGAATATCCCCCCTTGTGGGATCACTTTCTGGTGTCTAGTAATACAGCTGACTTCAGTGATTTGAAAACTGTCCTGCGTTTACAACGAGAAGAGCTAAAACAGTTTGGTCATCAAGGCTCAGACTTGATACTACAATGCAGCTACGATCAGAGAGAATGTAACCCATTGTATGTAATGGCAGATATTGAGAGCACATCTACTAGCGTAAATATGTAAACTAACTTGCAAGTTTTAGCTTAGTTTTCTAACTTGTGTGCTCATCTATTCATATCTGCATGGAAATAAGTAGTTTAGCGGGACATCTAATGTCGTATTTGTGTACATTATTCATACAGGGACTTTTACCAATTCGAAGATGACGTATATGGGAACTGTTACACGTTCAATCATGAACAACAGAGAACACTTCTGAATGCAACTAATACAGGATCAGGATTTGGTAATTTCAAATATATATATATATATATATATATATATATATATATATATACAACATACATACATACAATATACTCCCATATTCACAAAATCTGATTGTCTAACCACGGTATTCCTTTACTGTTATCAGAAAACGGATAGTGACGACACGATTGAAAAAAAACAAAACAAAAAAAAGCGAATTGATAATCTGTCTTACAGTATTTCAGTCACTATCACCCCTAGTATTACAGTAATCGTTTTAACAACTTTTTTAGTATATATGCCAAGTCAATGTAATGTATTCATTTATCTTCCATATAAGGAAGGTGAAATGTGTGACTTTCTGAGCAAATATATTACTCGAAAATGGCCGCCGAGATCTCACCGAGAGCTACGAGACTTGACATTACGTCATCGTGTCCATTTGGTACAAACTGAATACCATGGTTGCATAGACCAGTAGAAAATTGGACGCGATGACGGGGGGAGGGGTGAAACACAATTCGAAAGAAAGAGGTCTTGTGGTGCCTCGTTTTAAACAAGAACTAGGCGGCCATTTGCGCAAATGAAATACTTAGTTAACGTGTTGCTCATTCGATATTTCTTTATATAACATAGTAAATATTTTCTAAAAATGTTTAGCTCATTAATGTCCCTGATGTATTCAATATTACAGGTGATTTATTACATGTATTATTTTCCCTTTACAGGACTAAAATTGACACTTTTTACAGAACAATCTGAGTACATCGGTATTTTTGGACAGGAGTCCGGCATCAGGTTGATGGTTCACGATCCATTTACAACTCCTTTCTTAGAGAATGAGGGTATTGATGCAAGAACAGGGACAGCAACATCAGTCATTATTAAACAGGTATACAACTAAGGAATGTATATCAGTACATGCAAGAGATTACACAATAGTCCTTGGAAACATATTGCCGCCTAGACCTAGATGACAGCAGTAGAGAGTGACATAACCCGTGGATGTCTCGCTAATCTTGAGATTTTAGTGGCCATTTCTGTTTGGCTGGTTTCCGCCTCAAGTGACATGGCGCAGCAAGCCAAAAGAGGCCGGAAACTAGTAACGGTTCCGGCATTCTGATTGGTCAGCGCTTACGCTCGTGGTCCTAGAGCATGGTTTCCTTTTATTCTCGAAAGTTGGGCGAATATAAAACTGTTCCTTGTGTTATAAATTTTCACAGAAACAGCGAGAAATGCCAGAAACATCTCAAATATGTAAGTCTAAGTAGGCAGGCTGTATGGGCATGGCTTAATGGAGACTTGTTTACAAAAAATGAATAACAGAATGTTTTCAAATTACGTCACTTAGTCACATGACTTTGGGCCAGAATCCAGGCCCTGTGGGACAAAATGGCGATTACTAGTTACCTGCGTCCTACCTGCCATTCACAGGGGACGCCGGGAACCAGAAATCATTTGTGTCTGATGTCTATTGCATTATATGTTGTGTTTCAGAAGGAGTTTATAAGTGCACCTTGGCCGTGGGGCAACTGTACTGACAAGAAGTATGTTGATTCAGGAGAATATCGTTACTCTTTGATTGTAAGTATTTCAGTCTATATTATGTGTTTGTACTTTATTTAGTCTTGCACTTGTGGACTGTGTTAGTCGTTTGCTTTGGTTGGTTTTTTTTGTATTTGTATATTGATAAAGTATGTTGTTATTTTCTGTAAGTGTTTATAAGACGTATACTTTTACACAAATATCTGTCTTCTCTAGGCATGTCAAAAAGAATGCTTGCACTTACGCATGTATGACAAATGTGGATGCGTTGATTCATTTTTCGAGGATAAACCACTTTGTGATATTCTTGACAAAGAACAAGGTGCGTAAGATCAGGTTCTCTAATATATACGCAATTTAATATTCCCTGTAGTAATTTTCGATGAACTGAAAGTGGTTCAATGATCATCGCTCTTGATTTGTCAAAACAGTAGTATACAAATCGATTGCATTTGTTAATGAATCAGAACATCCCATACATATCCCTTGTTAGACGTCAAATGAAATTATAAAATCGATTTAAAAAGTAATGATGATTCAGAAGCTGAATATATTTAGTATCAAAACTGTCTATTCATCGAATCTAGTCGTATCATCGTGTAATTTCCTTATTGATATATATTCCTTCTTAAATTCGATCTGTACTCCCTCCCGTAGATGCATGTGTTCAATTGATGTATTATTTCTATCAGAAAGGAAATCTTGGATGCGACTGTCAGCAGCCATGCAGGTAAACATACTAACTCAATTGAATCAACGTAAATATATACAAACAGAATTTGAAACACCAAACAAAATCCTGCCCACAAACAAGTTACTCTCTGATTGGTCTGACTTTTAGGTGTCAACCAATCAGGTACAATTTTGTAAGTAGCGTCAAATTAGCTTCAAAAGCTTGGCGTCAGTGTTCATGATGAATTATTAAAGTTGCATCAATATTGATTGGTGTGACACATCTCTTATTTTTAAATAAGTATTTCGAGTTAATATTCAATCTTAAGTTTTGGAAAAACTAGTCATGTTCATAATTACGCAATGTTGCGCGTTAATAACAGTCGGGAGAAACACATCAATAATAATTTGTGTCACAACCTCTGTCGGCAACCACTGTCCAATCAGACAAGTTAGTTAATAACGATATTGGCAAAAATACTCATACACCAGAAACAACTATTGCCCCAGAGACCGTCCAAACGATTTTCAACGCTTTCCAACCTAGTAATTATCGTTTTATTATTATTCGATGTGCTATACTAAAAACTGATGATAAGTGTGTCAGGGGACGTCAACCAGCACACTTGCTGAATGGGCAACAAACGTCTGTACTCCATTTGGGTAAAAAGTAGGTATTCTATGCTATAAGGAGAGCCTGCTTTTTGATAAAATGCGTCAGTACGGAACTGCATATTTATAACGAAAACGAATTGAAAATGTGTATCATACATATATAGGTATATGGTTGATAAATAGGGGTATGAAAACGTGTCGATTTCTACAGATTTTGTAACGTAAGGCGTAATGTACCATGTTGTTGTTTTTCAGTGTCACCAAATACGATAAGATATTATCTTTGACAACGTGGCCGTCAAGCACATTTTCGGTGAGATATATTTTAGTACATGTAGTTTCGATATGTATCATGTGACATATTATTATAATGAGAATGACGTAGACATCATATGACGTGGCAGGACACCTAAATAAATCGATATTAGGCTGAACTTTTATAATCACACTGGTTATGACAACAAAATGGCACATAAATAGAACTATAAACCAATAAAAAACGCAATGAAACTACTCCTTCACACAATTTGATCAGAATAAACAAATACATGTAACATCCTGTTCGTTTATATTTCGCATTCCAGCCCCGTTTACTCAGTAGCTTACTTGCAGTTAATCCGAAAGTTGGTACAATTGCCAAAGAAAATCAGCTAAGGTAACATCTAATTATTCACAATCCCAATAATAACACAGTATTGTTAATCAAAATGTGTGGTTTTTCAGTGTTTACGAAACATCAAAGGAACATGAAAGCTTCCGCGATTGACTCTTATTGTTTATTCTGCCGTGTTAAGATACACAGATCGAACTCTTCACGACAAATTATTACGCCCTTAGCAGATATTATGACACAGTATTAAAATAGTTCAACCACATCGTACATGCAATTGGTTTGGTGTTCGTGTTTTTTTTCCATGTACGGCTAAATTTGAAATTAATATCGTAATTATGAGACAGAAAAGATTAGGTTAAATATATCAATAAAATGTATTGTATATTTTTATTTTGATGAGTTGTCAACTAGTCATATTCGATTGCCTTTTTTTGCAGTGCCAACCTTGCACGTGTAAAAATATATTTTGAGTCCCTGAACTTTGAACGTGTATTGGAAGTAGAAGACTACCCGGTAAGTTAAGTACAATAGTAGTAGAGTATGTTTAGTACGCATAGTACATATTAGAGTGGGTTTACAATGGTATACACGCTTCACGGTAAAATAATAAATATTTCAACCCCATTCGAAGGGATTACATTGATCACGTCCTGTTTGTTGGTGAATCATCCAACTACCCACTAACACAGACGTGTTTAGCTGTACATTCTGTGGTTAATGTTGTGGGCTTTGAAATCTTAGTACTTTAGGCCAACTTTATCTCCTCGTCAACTCCGTGTAAACCGTGCATCATGCTAAAGTTTCACAGTTAAAGCAACATGCAAGATCTGTTCGATACAAAAGCTGTATAGACTTACAAAATATGTGAAAGTTTACAGTCTGCACAAAGCCAAGTGACACATGTTTGAGCTACAGGAATTAATGTGCGGCTACAAAAGTGGTATAACATTATTTACCATTACTTATTATGAAACGGTGCTTTCTTGTATAGTTTGCGTGTCTTTTTTTATTAATGAACGCCACGCCATACGTACTCATGTTGTTGCTATTTGCAGTTCCCTCAACTTATGGCGGACGTAGGTGGCGCTCTTGGACTATGGGTTGGTCTATCCCTTATCACAGTGGTCGAGTTTGCCGAGTTCATATACGAATTACTTCGCTCGTGTAGAAGACGCTCAAAACAACGGAATGACAAAAACGATAACGGAACATCTCACGTTGGGACGTAACTTCCGGCGGATGGTAGCATCGGTGGACATACATAAGTTGGATTTTGTGGTATACTTCAGCGTGTACGCATTTGTTTATTGGGTGGGTGACAATAAACGTCGTTCTGTAACTGCCTGGGCGATGGTCATGTCCATTAAAGATGTCAAATACGCATCATTCAAATGGACGAATCCTACTAAATGAATAATTAATCTAATAATAATCGCATATACACATGATTTTAATCGACTATTTTTCATAATATTCGCAAGAAAACAAATCGAATTACCTGTAAATTGTGATACTTAAAAGTTCATTGTTGCACATAGGTTTTAAATATTGGTGGCTGTTTATAATGCCTCTGTCATCATACATGCAGCGCACGATAGATGGTGTGAACAAACAATGCGTTTATGCATGGTATATGTAGCATGGGCCCATATCAAATACACCGCGTCGCAACAAATGTGGATATTTCATTTAGTTTATTTCAGTTGTAGCACTCACTTGATGCGTCTCCTACGAGATGTCCTGGAACGTAGATATGTCCCAATTTATCGGTGTTCATTTTTACAATGAGATGTTTCTCGTATTTTAAGTTGAATGAATATTTTGCAAAATCGCCGTCTCCCAGTGGTTACAATAAAATCAACATTTTCAGTACAAAACTATAATAAATTCTGAATACAACTATATAATTCAGTGAGTTTCAAAGTGTATAACTATTAAACATGTATTGAAATAAATTAAACTATGAGTATGATGTCAATCCGTGTGAGGTTGTTTAATGTTCTATTTTCAATTGAACGTATCCTTCTAAAACTTTACGTTCAAATAATCTTGGTTACTGTCACACGCAACGTAATATTACCGTAATTGGTA